CAGAGCAATCATGCGTACTGTCTCCACCTGAAGGTGAGGAAGCAACGACTGCTAGGGTACGGTTACGTGCTAAGGAGGCTACAGGACCGCGAGGAACCCAAGATGAGAGGTGAAGGGACGTTATCAGAAGGACCTAAGTAAAATCATGGCCACAGCTGAGATGCGCTGGACAGAACAAAGTGGCGACTAATAGAGATAGCAGGTCCTTCGGCTGCCGGTACTGACTCTAGGGAGAAGAAGAAGAAAGAAGCTCCGTGGCAAAAGCGGCGCCAAATGACGCCAATTTGGCGCCAGTGCCAAAAATGGATGTCACATCCGTGATCAGAACCCTCGATAACCCCTGTAGGATAAGTTTCAGCGAAATTTTTTTTGCCGAAATTGATTGCAAGGTTTACGAAATTGCTTGCAAGAATGACGAATTAGGCGTTAGAATGACGAAATTGGATTGCAACGTTTACGAAATGGGCTGGAAGAAATACGAAATTGGCTGCAACGTTTACGAAAATATCTGCTGCTTTGACGAAATGGTTGCAACGTTTACGAAATGGGCTGCAACGTTTACGAAAATATCTGCAACGTTTGACGAAATGGTTGCAACGTTTACGAAATTGGTTGCAACGTTTACGAAATGGAATGCAAGGTTTACGAATTGGGGTGGAAAACCCTGTATTGTAGCGCTGACACTTTATACAGGTTCTCAGTTGCTTAGTGACCTGAGAACGTAACTGCGGTATCCAGAACATTTGACGAATCAGTGCCATGGTATGGTTAACCCCTGGATGCGTTCGCTGGTGGTACTCGCGTATGATGAGATTGGCGAGGAACGACTTCTGCAGCACAAGGATCGGGTACTTGGCCGAGTGTTCTAGTGCACTTGTACCTAACCTACCGCGACACCGCAAAATCCCTTCCTTATCCTTCATTATTCGCAAGTGGCCTAGTTTTTGAATAACCACAGGTGTGATCTCTGTCCGTTGGTGGTGCACAACTAACACTTTTCCAGCTTCTTTTACTTCCTCACCGGTGAGCTTTTTGGTGGACCTTTCTCGTGATGTTACTTCGACTTGACTAAACAACCTGTGACCGCTAACTGCTCTTATGAATCGCAGAACGTAGGCGAGGATGCGCTTTGCCTGTGTTAGAGTCGCCGCTTGGGTGGGAGCCACTAGGTAGGCGTCAGCTTTATCGTTGCGTGAATATTCACTTCTGTCGCCAGAAGAACATTTTTCTGCCCGTCTTCTATGTCTCCTTCAATTTGGAACATTGCATGCTTTTTCCTGTAGCTGTATTCCGCCTCTTCCAGAAACGAAGGTCCTTTCCACCAAAAATGTGAGGAGAATTCGTCTTTCTTTACTCCTCTTGTTGCACAATCAGCTGGGTTTTGTGCTGAATCCACGTGGCCAAAATACACCTCATGCTCGAAAGATCGTAGATGTTCCTCGATTTTTCGAATTTCCCTCAGCCTGTTGGTAACCGTGATGCCCTTCTCAGTATTGAGACCATTTCTCACCCAGTTTAGCGCAATTTCAGAATCGGAAAATACGTAAATGCACTTGATCTGAATTACTGGTCGGAGTTCTTTGATTACCCTTTCCGTGAGCCGCATAGCTAATGTGAGGGCGTTTAACTCCATTTTTGGCATTGTCGTAACACTCTTCAACGACGCTAGTCGTTCACGTGCCATCAAGAGGTTACTTGATGATGGGTTGCACAAGTAAGTACATGCCGCCATTGACTCGGAACTGGCATCGGCAAACGTCACAAGGAGATGTTCACTTGAGTTAGATGCAGCGACTCTCGGAATGGACCTTTCAAATCCCGAAACTTCATCGATGATCCTGAGCCACTGTTGCACATGATTTTCAGGGTCGTACCATCCGTACCCTTAGTTCCACAAGGACTGGAGGAACCGTTTCGCTTTGTGGGTCAGCGGGATCAACCAGCCCAAGGGATCGTATACTGATGCCACTGCTCGAGCTACTGTCCGCTTAGTAACCCGAGGATCTCCCATGATCAAACATTTCATGCGAAATTGATCCTTCTGCGAGACCCATCTTATTCCGAGCACCTTTAGGGAACGTTCCGCTGATCGGTCCTTCTCATGCATCCCTTGCATCAGGTCTTCATCATTAGATGCAAATTCCCTGAGGTTCATACTCAAATCGTTGAATATTCTTTTACACTTGATGTACTTATCATTGGCTTCAATATGACTGTCCGATGTCAGCAAGACATTATCGACGTAGAGATTGTTTTTGATTTCCTGAACCAACTTACGCTCACTTGAATATGTATCCAGATGGTAGTACGTTGTGGCTGCTAGAAGAAATGGGGAGGCATTTATTCCGAACGCCACTCTTGTAAATCGGAGCTTCGAATATTGCTAGATTCAGGGGCTCGTTGGTAATCCCATAGCCATAAGCATCTTGTGGCATCGCGTTCACTTTCATGAAGCCTCACTTGTAAAATGCTTTCTCTACGTCCGAGATAATTCCTATTCGTCCTATCCTGAATCGAGAAGGATTCCGAACAGTTGTGGCAGGATCACTGGACCCCTGTGTAGAACTTCGTTCAATGAGGGGCATCCCCTGTAATGCGCTGACGCGTCGAAAACCACTCTGAGCTTTGTTGTTGCCTTATCATGGGTTAACACTGCCTGATGTGGGAGGTAGTGTATTTTAGTGCCCAAGGTTGACCCGACCTCTAGTACATCTTCCAGGATCTTCAATTGTATTTGTTCCTGGAAAACTGCATCATAGCGTTGGAGAAGTACCTGATCCCACTGAAGTGAATCCAAACACTATGAAGGCGTCGCAGAGCAATAACGTGATTGTCTGGTAGCTTGGGATGATCAGGCTTTCACCGAAGTTCCACATAATAAGCCATCACTTCTGCGTTCGACAGTGCGATTGAAGTTGTCCCAAACTTCCCTGTCCTGACGGTCTTTCTCTTCTCTTTCCGGATTTCCGAATTTATGGGTACCTGCCGATTCTAGCTGCCAATATTGTTCCCTCTGTTCTCATCATCTGTGTCGCTCGGGGTTTCCTCCTCATCATGGACCATGTGCACTTGTGGTTCTGAAGACCAGTAGTTTTCCCACTGTGCGAGCTCTTCCGATTCGTCCTCAACCCGTAAGTGAAGAACTGGTTGAGGAATCTTCAATCGTCCGGCCAGTATGTTGCCCATGGTTGTTGGTAGGAGATGAAGGCCAGACGGAAGTTGAATTTGTGAGCAATCCTTTCTGAGGCTGCCATGCTTGATCACATCCGAGTAGGATACTTGGTTTCACCCGTTGTCGCGTTGCTACAGCCTTTATCGGACTTTGCATGTTTAGAGATCGAAGTACCTGGCTGTCTTCTTCAGACAAAGAGGGGATTGCAAAATCCTTTGTGAAGATGTCACTTGTTAGCACATCCAACACGTGAAGTTGTCCTTCATTATCCCATGTCGGTAAATGAACCCGACGCGACAGTTTTTTCTGCACTTGTCCTGAACCGAAGGTATAGTAGCGCGGATGTTTCTGTCGACAATTGGTAGAGCCAAGTCATCTGCCAATGCAGTCTCTATAAACGACATCTCAGCTTCCGTGTCAATCAGCACTTGAATTTTCATCAGGTACCTAGCCTTCGGATCAACTACGGAAACTTCGCCGATGGGGAGGAACGTTTTCGTAGGCGCTGAACCACTAGAGGGGTGTACAAAGACCACTCCTTCACTGGAACTTGTCAGGTCTTCCACCGCCTCTCCATTCGAATCTGACTTGTCATCTGTCACTAGATTGACTTTGGTAACGGATTTGGTATGTTTTCTCTCGCCTCTTTTCTCCGAATTACGGGACTGCTTTTGCGTTTTCCTCGGTGGGTTATCCCCGCCCGACGGCGTAGAAGATTCTGCAGGACGTGTCATAGATTGAAAACAACACGATGTATGATGAGGGCCTTGGCAGCGAAAGCATGGTTGCCTGCTGCATTCCTTAGTTGTATGAAGAGCAGATGCGCATAGCTGACATAGTTTCCTGTCCCGTAGGTATTGTGCTCGTTCTTGAAGAGTCTTGAACTTACCGCACGCGGCTGGTTTATGGTCACCTTTGCAATACATGCACGCTTGTACAGGACTCCTCCGGGATCCCATTCTTCCCTGCACGTTTATTTCGTTTGCCTTCTTCTTCACCGGCTTGTCCAAATAAACGTGGATCATCTCCTCTTCTGATAAAGATGTCTTCCATGAGGGAGAAAATGCATTCTATTGAGGTCGGAATATCTGGGAAAAGGGCTCTCTTCTTCAAAAGGACTTTCCGTTGAAATTCTTCAGGGAATCTCGACAATACCTTTTTCGCCATCCACTGGCTGTCCACCTGTTCCCCGTTTTTCGCCAACTGCTGAACTATCACTTGAATCTGTTCGAAAAGTGAACGTTGGTCCTTCAGCGAATGGCTCCGTAGCTGACAGCTTTCCAATCTATTGATCAACTTCTGTACTAGCTCTTCCCCCGATCCGTATCGGTTATGCAGGAAAGCTATGGCCTTAGCGTAATTTTCCTTCGTCACATGAAATTTGCGCACTGATTCCCTGGCTTCTCCCTGAAGCGCATCCAAAAGGTAATTGGACTTGAAGAGTTTTGGGAGCTCATGTGAGTGCACGTTTGCATTGAACAGCTCCCAGTCCCAAATATTCCCTTTGAATTTCGGTATGGGTAATGTTGGGAGTTCAGTATGCCTCGGTTCGGGAACCTGCTGTGCATGAAGGAAATGCAACGCTTGTGTCCCAGGTGTAGAGTGGGGTAACGTTTGTTGCGCCAGATTCATCCCCTCACATGATTTGATTGCTCTGATTCGGCCTTGCAAAAGCATTTCGTATTCGATAGCTGTCGCCAAACACTCTTCAGCGCGGGTTGCGTACTTTTCGGTTTCTCCTGCCTCTGCTTCCGTCTGAGGTTGCGGTGCTGAGTCACGTAGAACGAGGAATTTTGCCAGTGAGGTTTCCAGTTGTTTCACCATGAGGTCAAGTAGCCCCCATTGTTTCCTCCAGCTGTCGCAAATTTTCTTTGTTGACCCTCTGTGAGTCATCACCCTGTACCGCATGTAGCTTTTCCAACCCCTCTTCTGTGAACTTTCTTATCGCCTGCTCTAGTTTGTTGCCGTAGCGAGTGAGCAGCCGCTTTGTTGTTGCGATTTGCGCGTCCATTATCGACTGATGAGCGTATACGAGCAATGAGTCACAATTCCCGAACAGCACTAATTACGGTCAAGCGCCCCTTGCACAAGCTGTCACTTGAGAACTTGAAGCGACACTTGATAACTTGAAAAGCGAGCAATCGTGCAAAAAATTTCTGTCGTGAACTAAATAGCTGACCTGAGTTCTTCGTTTAAGCGATGCACCATGAAGCGCCACTTGAGGTGGTTCAATCGTGTACTTGCTCGCCAAAAATGGATCAAATCCACGCCACGCGGTATTGCACTTGAAATCAGTACACGACTAGAAGTGGAACTTTATTATACGAAGAAATCCGAAAGCACGAAGTTAGACAAACCAGTACAGAGCTCAGCTTCGGTAGATGACTCTGCGATCCTCCGTACTGACTTGCAACCTTGAACTTGAATAGCTAAGACTTGAGGGATAACTTGAGCAAAATCTAAGCCAACGGGAAGAGGAGAAATCAACCGACCTGCTTGAACGCGGAGGCGACCCTTTATGTAGGGTTAGAAGGAATGTTAGAAGCTAGCCGTCGCCTCCTCATTCTTAGATCCGCAACGCAGATAACTACAGAAGCCTAATGGTACGCCTACCAATACAAAGAATACAGAGAACGATCAAAAAATGAAATGAATGCAAAATTACATAATCGACCAAAAATAAATGAGTCAACTCTAATTCTAAGCAAGAACAAAGAGTAATATCACGGTCGCCTTTGCGACACAAATTCATACGCCGCGTGGAGTTCACCGCATGCAATATCATGACAATGTTGATTTCGGGATCACAGTGTCCATTCTGGCGCATGAACCCGAAATCGCGGCGCGAAAAACCCTGGAGGCGTTTTGGATTTCGGCAAGAGACCCTCAAATCAATAGAAAGGAGGAGTGTTTAGCCATTACCCGTGAACTAGCGCCCTTCTCCGACCTCTACATGAGGTCAGGTCGAGGTTGAGGTCGAGGGGTGGAGGTGGTGGTGTTCAGTAAGCTCAAGCTAAGTCCTTCGAGGGTGGTCGCCCTCGCGTCACGGCGGCGTTGATCAAGGTAGGCCTAGTAGCATATCTTTATCGATCGATACCGTTAGGTGGTTTACTAAGATATGGAAATTGTCTTCAGTATTGTGGAGGTGTTTGAGCGGTTAAGTCACATTTCACTTCATTTCATTTATTATATGCAGCACGCATGTGCAAAGATTAGGAGTTATTAAAACAAAACCAAAAGACAAAACAAGGCAAAGCAAAACAGCAAAGTAAAGCAGGACATAACGAAGTGTAAAACAGAACAATGAATCATTTATTAGGACGGTGGAGATAATGGAAGACCGCCTTTCTGAAACTAGAGAATAAGGGCGTTATTTGCACAACCTTGCTCATTTTTGAGAATTCCATGCCTGCACGAACTGTGAAGAACCTGCGCCCCACTGTTGAACGTGGTTGTCGGAAGGAAAGCTTAAATTTTTCCCCCCTTGTGACTGAAGGCACTAGTTTATAGAAGGCGCTACCATCGATGTCAATGCGCTTATGAAGAATATTGTATACCATAAGAATGTCGTTCCTCCTCAGCCTTAAAAATAGCGGGTCCAAATTAAGCAATTTGTTTCTAACTAGTCCACGAGGTATGCTGGCATAATTGAAACCTAATGTTCTAACAAATAATTTTCTGGTGAAACCATTCTGTACCTTTTCTAGATTGCCCAAAAAGGTTTTAGTATGTGGGAAGTAAATGCACGTGCCGTACTCAAGTACTGAACGCACAAATATTTTATAAGCTTTGACAAGCATGGTCGGATCTTTCAGATTTGAATGTCTTCAAACAGCAAAAACACTCTTTGGTTGGCTTTCGCTATAATATTTTTAGATGATCCTCAAAACGCAGTTTAGTATCAACAAGAAAGCCCAAGTCCTTAACCGTATCAGTTGCGCCGAGAACGGAACCGTCAATATAGTATTGCATTTTGGGATTGTTTTGACCGAGATGGAGAACTTTGGTTTTATGCACAGATAAAGGAAGATGATTGGTTTTCGACCAACGCGAGATTGCATCAATGGCTTGCTGAAGCAGATTTGAGCAGCTGCCAACTCCTCTATAAATCTTCAGGTCGTCGGCAAACATTTTCACTTTAACGTCAAAACCTTCAATCAGATCAGGCAGGTCGAACGTGAAAATATTAAATAAGATGGGAGACAGGACACTCCCTTGTCGGGACACCACTGGGAGCGCTCTTGACTCCAGAAAATGTTCCATTAACCACTACTTGGAAAGTACGCTGTTTCCAGAAAAGCCTCGATCCATTTAATTATTCTGCTATGAATGCCCACTAAAGCAAGTTTGTCTAATAGAACGGTGTGAATTACTCTGTCGAAAGCTTTTTCAAAATCAAAATATATGACATCCAAACTAACATCCAATTCTGAGGACCAGTCATTGAGGGACTCCAACATAGCTGTGATAGTAGACCTTCTTTCTCTGAATCCATGCTGATGAGTCGAAAGGATATGATTGTGTTCTAAGTGATTAACCAATGCTTTTTTAACAAGTTTCTCAAAGAGCCTACAGAATATTGAAGTTATACTAATAGGCCTATAGTTATGGGGATCAGAATAGGGAGGCTTTTTCCTAATTGGGAACACATAGGCATGACGCCAGGAAGGAGGGACAACTGAGTGGAAAAACATTAAATTGAATAGAAACTCGAGTGGCGAAGAGATATTGGCAGCAATCTTTTTGATGAAAAGAAAAGGGATCCCATCAGGAGTTAGAGAAGAACCACTTCTCCAATTGGAAATGAGTTCAAGTATTTGTGTGCGATTGAACCAAATAGAGTCCTCCATACATGGAGAAGTAGAGCCATATCGTTGGCGGGGAGAAGGGACAGTGGCACCGTTGATATACGCTGCTCCAAAAGTCTCTGCTAACAGTTGAGCTTTATTTAAGTCCGACACCGTTACTGTGCCATCGCCCTTCCTAAAATCGCTAATTCCTTCATTTCTATTAATGCGAAATTTGATGAACTTGTAAAGAGTAGACTTGCTTTTTGATTCAATGACTTTTTTCTCAACAGAAATATTGTATTTGAACAACTTTTTCTCGAACCTTAACGAAGCCTCTTTGTACTCATCCCAGTTCTCATCTGAATTGGTAAGAACAGCTCTTTTATAGGCACTAGCTTCAGAATGATGCGCAGAGGCAAGATAGGCAGGCAGGTTTGGACAGTTAAGTGACACTTTCACAAGAGGCACAAATAAGGTATTACAATACCTCAGAACGAACAAAAACAGTTCGTACATATCCGTACACCCCCACAGCTGTTAAAAGAGCCAAACCAGTCAACCGCACTGAGTACTCGTTGATATGTCCGTAGTCTGCTTGTTTGAAGTTGTACTTCAATACAAACCGACTTCTGTCAATGGAACTACGTATCGTGAAATGAACTGAGGCGTGATCACTGTTGCCTACCGGCGCAGCAACAGTAACCTTAGAGATGACATCGGGACAATTACAAAACAGCAAATCGAGAATGTGTTGCTCTCTGGTGCTAGACGAGACCATTTGGCAGTAGCGGGAGAGCCAGAAGCCTGAGGGGGAACAACATTCCATTTGATACCAGGGTAATTCAAAATCACCCATCAAAAGACGACACTGTTACAAGATGATAAGCTGAGTTGTGAATTACATCTGGGAGCTCTATAAGTAATAATAAGCCGAAGAATGCCTATATTTAAGTGAAGGTCGCAAGAGAGGATTTCATATGCTTTAGAAATACTTTCATGAAAAACAAGAACTTGTAAAGGACTCGTCTAACTAATAGCGCCACACCTCCTCCTTTAATCCTGGGTCGGTCGCACCTGAATATTTCGTACGTAGCAATTTGCTCAACAAGTAACGGTCGAGTTGACTATTAGGTTTTGACCACGTCTCAGCAAGGCCCACGACATAGTCCGTTGCAGCCATTGAGTAGGCAAGTGATTGTGCATTTCTATGTAACGATCGTATATTACAAAAGAAACAGCGGACTTCATTATTTCCTGACCGCGGAAGGCTTACAAGTTTACCGAAGAGCGTAAAGAGGTAAGAGAGGCATCATTACCACTAGCCACGACCTGCGAAGGAACATTGACATTGCTTGTATCACGATTAACAACAGCATTCCGATGACTAACAAGACGGGCCTCTCTTCTTCTCAACCTTTCCTCGACTGTGAGTGATTCCCTTAGGAACACTCCCTGCCGGGGAAGCTGCGGAGAAGAGAGGCTTTATTAACAGCGCAAGTTTTTGAAATTTCGAACAAGGCAGTACAACTTTAATTAGACGGTTCTTTCCAGGAAGCCATTTACCGAGTCTATATACCGTTACCGGCAAACAATCAAGATTCAAATGCATCAAAATATTAGCAACACTTTGAAAATCGTAGCGAATTCTATCAAGACAACTACTAGCTTGCAATTCGGGGACTCCAGAAATGATGATCGATCGTTTCCTCTCGATCTCCTCTTAAGACAGAGTTTTCGGGAACAGCAACATTAGAGTTTGAAGAAACAGAAACCACATTTTGCTCATAAGAACGAATACGCTCTCTCAGTACTTCATTTTCCTTTTCTAAACTTTTGTACGATTCAAGACGCTCACGTAAAGTGACGTTCTCCTGAATGATTGCACTCAATTGACTGGAGATTGACAGAAGCAATTTCTTCACGCATTCAGGAACGGCCTTTGATTCATTGACCTGCTTGAGAACATCAACCAGTTCCGGCGACGTAACGGGACCATCCGGGGAGATTACACGTGGGCGTTTGCCACTCTTAAGAATATGTGTGACAGGAGTATCCATCGCTGATCACAAATGCGAGGTCAACCAAGAATCCAATATTGGCTCGATTGATTGCCGCGCGACAACAGACAATATAACCGAAATCGAAATACTTTACCTGCTATTGTCGCAACTTAGTACGAAAGAAAACTTTGCTCCCTTTGCGACTAAGAGCAGCGCCACTCCAGAATAGATGTCAGCAACGGACGACAGAAACGGTAATTTTATAGGTGAATAGGCAGCAAAACAGTTGGATGGTGATTAGCTAGGAGAAACGCCGCCACGCGCGGGCCTTACACACGCACGAATGAATGACATCTGTTTTTGACTTTTTCAGGCTCTGACGAAGGCGAAGAAGCCGAAACGTTAGCCTAATAAAGCTACCTAATCGTGGACGGCTACAGTCAAGTACTCATCTGATAAGCCTTAGCTCTTTACTTATGTAAAGTAGGCATAGTTCATTTTAATTTTGAGACTGACAGCAATCCTATTCACCGCTAAATTATCTGAATTCAAGAATGCTGGATGTTTACAGTTGTGAGATAAATATGCCAGTTCAGCTCCAGACGTTATCACGCGTATTCTCGATGGACTTCAGCGAAACTGGGAAAGGTCTAACACATTCAATAGTGAGGTGGTTAATGGAGTACCTCATGCTGATATTCCATGGGTCTTTCAGTTTCGCTAAAGCCTGCCGTGTGATGCGCGCGATAGCGGGCGGAGCAAAACTGGTATCACTTAAAGCAACAATCCAGGAACGAATTCGCGGGTAAGGACCACCTATAATGACGTTGCAGGTGAGAAGTTGGTCAATGGAGAAAGAAAAAGTAGAAAAAAACGTCGGGCAGGGGCTTAGACAGGGACTCCCCCTGCCGTTTAGGGAGACGTGTGTTGGACGAGTTGTCCGAACCTGCCCGTAGTACATGCGCTCCAATTGCAACTGCTGGCAAATAGCCATGCATGCTTGCAAATACATAACTATTTGCCAGCAATCGAAATTGAAGCGCTTCAATTGCGTTCTTATGGAATCGACCTCATACAGCGCGGCGGTCCCGCAACGACCGCTAGTCGAGCAAGCGCTCTGCACAGCTGCTTGGAGGCGGCCCCACCACGGATCGGTGGATCCGCCCTCTTGAAGGATTTCGACTGCTTCCAACGCCTTTCAGAGGTAAGTTTTGAAGTTTGTGACATTTCCCATGAACTCCAATCAGGCTGAGGCATGTTTCCACCACTTGAAAACCAAATGGTTGAAACCCTGCCTGGACTGTTGCTTTAAAGCGAGAGATTACGATAAAGTGCGTATGCAGCGTGGAAGTACATGCACCATTGGAAGCAGTAGTCAGGGGCCCAAGGAAACGAAATGTTGCGTTTTTGTGGTCAAAGGTGCGCTAGTTGCAGCGTACAAGGCTTGCCATTCCTTTCTGAGCCCCGCCACGGTCTGTGCTCCGCCCCCAGCAGCAGCGCCCTTCGATTGCCAATGTGACGAGATATTCCACTTCCAGAGTGTATCCTATAACTTTTCATGGGATGCGTGATCAATCAAAGCATGATGCTTGCTGAAATGATAGAGGCTATCAGCATAACATGTGCAAACGACCTCCTAATTGGTTGCTAGCTCGTCCATTATCGGAGGTCAACGGGCAAAGAAAGGGGTCCCATTTTGCGCCTTCTTGACGGATTTCTTTGCTTTTTTTCGCCACTGGGCATTATTCAGCATCTCCACTTCCACTATGAACCCAGAGAAAAAACTAAAACTCATCGTAATCCATCGCTCTAAGTCGAACATTACGTGAGAAACTACGAAATTCTTTCTGTGGTCACTGTATTGCCAGATCCTGCCAAATCTCTCAGCAGCGAAATTTGACCGAGGCAGTGGTGACTATGGATCTTCAATAATAATGAAATTGAGCAATAATAAGATCATAGCTGATTCTGAACTCTGATCGGTTTTCCCTTGTGCAATAATTCAAAAAGATAGACATTGTAGAGCGGCAGGAGGTGTGTGCATTTTTCTAAACATTATGATTCTATTTGGAAGTTTTGTTCTTGACTGGAGATTTTTCATCTTTCTGATGTTTCATGCCTTGCTATTTGTCTGCGTTGTGCCGAAAAACAAGGATTGCTCCTTGTATGCCGTCCGCCGATCTACTGCTGATCCATGAGCTTATCGTGTGTGTGTTTGTTTGTTTGTGTGTGTACGCCTGTGTGTGGTGCGTCCGTTTGTTTGTGTGTGTATGTCCGTCTGTGTCCGTATGTCCGAAATCCCTGGCTCCTAGATATCCGTCTGGAAAGATCGGGTCAAGTGTGGGATGAGTGGGCCATGTCTCGAGAAGTGCAAAACAAGCATTAGCTAAGCGGAGCCTCGCCCACAGTGGGCGTGGCGTGCAGATTAGAGGTACCGAGATTTGGAGAAAGCCTACAGAGCGGAAAAAAATTGGTGTAGGGAAGCAATGTCTAAGGTGTTTCCAGCACACATGACGCAGGTAGAGGTCCTCCCACAGTAGGCGGAGCGTGTCCTTTTTTCCTCATTTCTTACAAGTCCTCATAATTCAGTTCCTAGAACTCTTAGAGAGCTGGAGAAATGTGGCTGGAGGTCAGAGAAGGAGGGGGGGGGGTAAATATTGATAGTGGGCGTTGCGTGCACAAAAGTAGGCGAGGTTTGCTGTCAAAACTTATAACTTGGATCAGAGAAGCCTTGGAGACCGGGAAAAAAGTGGATGGAGGTCAACCAAGGAAGGAGACCATCTGCTATAGGTGGGTGAGGCGTGCACCGGAAATGGTGAATCGAACGAATCTACGAATTAGTATAACTCGGGTCAAAGATGACCTTTCCCATTCTGGTCAAGGTCGCGTTCTGACAGCCATCACTGAGCGATAGCTTTTTGAAGCGTTCCTTAAAAGATTAGTGACAACTATGTAGCGTCTAAAGTGAGCGACTGATCCTAGAGTTCGATCATGACCGCTCCTTCAAAGATAATAGGGGAGGAAAGCACCAAAGGAGGTGAATTTACACTACGCCCCATTACCCACGAAAAAAATAATTATAGGATTCGTTATAAAGAAGTTAATAGAACCTCACCTTTTCATAAACAGCCATCCAAGCCGCAAAGTATGTTGTATTGTTCAATTACGTCTCCCGAAGCACTGCAAAAGATCAACTCGAAATAGAAAAAGAAGCACAAATACTAGCTATGTTCGCAATCTCACTTAGACTAAATAGGACAGGTAGGGCAGATTTGGATGGCATAGCTGTATCAATCAGGCCTTCGACTATAACGACCTCAGTTAAAGCCAATGAAGAACACCAAATGCTCTCAACTTCTTCTTGTCACCGATGCTGCGCTTTCTAAGACCATCCCACAAAGTAGCATTACTGTAGGAAATATAATACCAGTTAAGGGTCAACCACGAGGGGAGGGAGATTTACGAGTTTACACTGAACAGAACACTCGCCACATATTTTACAAAATTGACTCAGAAACCTACTTTCCCTCACACTTTCTCGCCACAACAGGCTTTCCCATTCCTTCGTGTATAGCCATGGCGTGGACTGTTTCCCCCTCTATCCGGATATCCTTCCGATTTTCCACTTCCATTTCTTTCATCAAAAAACAGGGAGTACGGTTCTATTGATAATACTGGAGAGTCTTTTTAGAAACTCTGGTGAAACTCCAGTTCGGGGGCACTCCATTTTTTCTCCAATACTCAAGATAAGGATTAGAGGGCTCACGACACGTAATCGACTCATTTAAAGTAGACTTCTGATAAATATTGGTGTAATGGGTGAGAAACCCTGAAACGTTTTCACATTTCCGCCTGCCATGACCCAAGGGAACGGTCCTGGACCAGGAGAAAGGACACCTCCGCAAAGGGCTAAGGGTGCAGGAGCTCCAGGGTGGATCACCTGTGCAGAAAAGTGGATGGGATGTGGGCAGGTAGTGTGGAATGTAGGACATCCACCGGTCCTTATCAAAAGTACGCTCGAAATGAGTCGTTCACTTATTATCTTATCCGTAGTGTTCGATAGCCCAAAGAACTGCTCTCTAGTACTACGGATAAGATAGCAATGGAGTGCCCCCCCCCAACTGGAGTTTCACCGAAACTCTGGTCAAGATGGACTCTCTCAACGGAAGGCGGCGACGTGTATGACAGAACCAATATCGCCCGTGGTATGGAATTAAAATCTGATAAGCCTTTTAAAGGACATAAAAAGAGAAGAGATATTGTCATAGTATGCCATTTTCAGTTACCAGCTTCTCGTTTTTTGCTCCGTTTCTCTTGCTGGTTTCTTAGGACTCATCAATGATGACCATTCTCTGCTTTTACACTTTTGTGTTTCTTAATCAAATTTTTTGATGGGGGGTGTAGTAGAAGAGCTTTTTTGTGAACAGTTTTGGGGGAGAATTACAGAACCTTTTCATAGTTTGGTATGTGAAGTGGGTCGTTTGATGACTTCGGCCTCAAGGGGAGGGGGTATTGCAAGTTTTCGACGGTTCGCTTGACCCTGGTGGGTAGCGCTATCAATATAGGAGTGAATAGAGTCAGAGCTGGTGGACACTATGTTATGTGAAAGTTTCGAAAAACCCAGAAATTTGTGGAGGAACTGGAAATAGGCGTTCTTTTCACCAACTCGGGACGAGGATGGTGTAAGAGATGCGCGTATCGCACCAGTTTCCCGAACTGCTACTTCCATAGGCTTTACGCTGTCCTTCTTCCAAAACGAGGCGTTCTCCTCCGCCCTAGAACGAGGGTCAGTGCTTCGCCGAGACCCGCCTTTTGCAAACATCAACGCTTATCCCTTAGTTTCATGGTCGACTCGGAATCCGTGAACATACCAGATCGAGGATCGGGCCTAGGAGAGGGAGGCAGAGAGGGAAGAGAGATTGGCGTTCAATTCTACGAAGGCTAATGCAATACCTGGGACTTCTAATTGTTTCAGGGGAGAGATCGTGAATATTTTGAAGTCAGTAGAGATATGTGGTAAACTGCGGATAGTGTGAAAATTTGCTCCTTCCGTATAT